GACTCTAATAATTTAGATAGAACTCCTTTAATGTCTGCTGTCAATTCATTTATGAGTTGCATTCAAGAGTGCAGAAAGCAAGTAGACAGCAAATTAGTTTTAATTTCTTTGGTGTACTAAAATGTGGAAGAATTATTAGAATTCACCACACTTGGGCCAGGGATAAGAGTTCCTTCAGGCTTGAAATTTCAGATTGGCTTCCTAATAAGTTATATTCATAATGTAGAGTTTAATTATACTCAATGAGATATTCAGAAAACTTTCACTATTATGCAGCTGCTAAAACTGTAGTTACAGTTAATTAATAGTACAATAATCAACCAGTCTTTATGTCTGGGTCAGAATTCTCTTATATAAATGTAGTCCTGCAAAATCCATATCTGAGCTCTGTGTAGTTACTTGGACTGTCTTGACATCTGCTAGGAGAGAAAACTTTGAGAAAACTGACCAAACTGTGCTCAGGGGTACCCTGAAGCTGGTTACTGCCTGAGGGATGTCCATCTCCCTGGCTAAGAGGGAGCTGGCTTAGCCCAGGTGCCTCCCTTTTGGGTAGCTGAAGTTAGGTAAGAAGGACTTTAGTCTCCATCTCTTCATCTCTTGGGATTATTACAGCACTTTTTTTTTCCTTTTTTTTTTTTTTTTTTTCCAGAGAACAGAATATTATTTTTTGGTAATTTTTAGACATGTTAAGTCTTTGGAATTATAAACTAAAACTAAAGCTTCAAAATAGAGAATTAATCCCATCATAAAAACTTAATCAATTAGACTTTGAAGCAAAGAATGCAATTCTGATTTCTGCTTCTTACATTTGCTTGCCTCATCTTGTCTTCCCTGTGGAAGACTGCTTCAAGATAATGCTTTTCAGATCATATACCCATAAATATAGGAAAATACAGTAGGGTCATCATTATTATTAGTAATATGTACCATTTAAACTGTTCATGAAGAAAGGATGTCCTAAACTAATGCTATAACTTTTTTTCAAAGTTTGTGTCATACAGTTTAAGTCTATTTGAAGATATTTATAAATTACATGTATTCCCAACATCTGTATGATAGATCATTGGTTTGGATTATTAGAAGTCATATCTCAGTAATGCTGCAATCTAAATTTTTCATCCTCAGATAAAAATAGATATCTATCTATCTATCTGTCTATCTATAAAAATAGATATCTATCCTCAGATAGATATCTTAAAAGTATCTATCACTTCTTGAAACTGGGTCCCCTGAGACTACAATAAAGTGATACACCAAAAAAAGAGTCAGAACTGAAAAACTTGCTATAGTTGTTTTGTTGGGTTTTTTTTGTGGTTATATCAGGTTATATGTGGTTACATACAAAAAGTGAATTTAAGCATAGTGCTTTCACAAGTATTTCAAATATTATTTTGAATACATGTTCCAGTGAGGTATTTTGAATGTAGGATCCCATGAGGCTGTGGCAGTAAGACCATTAAGTATCTGTGTATAATGTATGAAAAGATCAAAGGGTAAGATGAAAAGAATAAAATATGGCCATGTCTGATGTTCACACAGTCTGCCAAATATTACAAATTGAAACTGAAGATTGATCTGAAATAAAATGTTTGAAGAGCATCAGGGATTACAGAGCCTTGTGAGCAGTGGTGAGGACATGTGGAACACAGATAGCTTTTTTTGTCTATCCTCCCAAAAGTCAGATGGAAGGAGTTTGAAAGGGACAGTCAAATCTAGAAAATTAAAAGATGGTTACAGAACTGATGTCACAACCAGGGATTTGGCTACATGGATAATGGGGCTCTCTTTGAGAAGCCTGAGGTGTGATAGGGCCCATCTGTCAGAGAAGGGGAAGATCTTTGGTCACAGGCTTGCTGGTCTGGGGAAGAGGCTTAAACCACAGTAGCAGGGGAGAAGGAGCCTCAGTCCATCCCAACCATACCAGTTTGATACCAGGGCCAGCAAAAAATGCCCAGAGCCTGGAGAGGATTGACAGGTCATCAGGAGAGCACCTGAAGAGCAGCACTGAGGAACTGCAGCCACTGCAGCCAGTAAGTCACCTTCACTGAGAATCATAGAATCATTAACATTGGAAAATACCCCCAGATCATTGGGTTCCAACCTGTGACCAAACACCACCTGATCAACTAAACCACAGCACCAAGTGCTACATCCAGTCATCTCTTGAACACTTCCAGGGTGGTGGCTCCACCATTACCTTGAGCAGCCCATTCCAATGTTTAACCACCCTTTAGGGAAGAAATTCTCCCCCTGTCTCTCTGGACATCCCCTGCTGCAGCTTGTGGCCATTTCCTCTTATCCTGCTGCAGGCGGCCTGGGAGAACACCCCCTGCCTTGCTACAATGTCCTCTCAGGGAGATTCAGAGGGCAATAAAGTCCCCCCTGAGCTTCCCTTTCTCCAGGTTTAACTCCCCCAGCCACTCCTCTCAGGACTCACTCTCCAGACCCTGCACCAACCTTGCTGCCCTGTTGAGCTCTGTCTTAAGTGTCTCTGTGCAAACGCAGAAAACACGGGGGTAAACAAGACAAGGTGAGTTGTGCACAGCTCTGCAAGGCTGTGATCCTGCTGGCATCCCAGAGCTGTGGTGGGATGGATCCTGGGATGGGAGTGATCACATCGAAGGATGCAGGCATTTTATGAAGCACAGGCAGGGGGACCAGGAGGAGGTGTCTCCACCTGTGTAAATGAGCAGCTGCAGTACAAGGGGCTCTGCTTGCAGATGGGTGAGGAGCTGACTGAGAGCTCAGGGTCAGGACTGAAGGGAGGGCAGGGACAGGGACAGGTAACACTGTAATGGACATCTGTGACAGGCTGCCCTACCAGGGGTTCTGAACAGAACACAGGAGAGCAGAACAGAATATCTGTTCCAAACAGAACATTTGTTCTCACAGGAGAGCAGATGAAGCCTTCAATAGACAGGTAGGAGCAGCTTCCCATTCACAAGCCCTGTCCCCAAGGGGCACTTCAACCACCCCAGTATCTGTTGGAAGCACAGCACAGCAGGGCACAGGCAATCCAGGAGGTTCCTGGAATGCACTGATGATAAATTCCTTCTCCAGGTGACAGAGGAGCCACTGAGGAGAGGTGCTGTGCTCTGCTGGACCTTGCTGTCACAGTGAGGGGCTGCTGAGGAATGTGAGGCTCAGGAGAAGCCTGGGCTCAGTGACCAGGGAATGGTGGAGTTTGGGATCCTCAGGGCAGTGAGGAGGTTGCACAGCCAGCTCAGTGCCCTGCACTTTAGGAGAGCAGACTTTGGCCTCTTCAGGGATCTGCTTGCTAAAGTACCTGAAGGGTACCCTGAAGGGCAGAGGGGCCCTAGGAAGCTGGCTGATGCTCACAGGTCACCTCTCCCAAGCTCAGGAGCAATGCATCCCAACAGGGGAACACAGGCAAAAATGCCAGGAGGCCTCTGTGGGTGAACAAGGAACTCCTGGACAAACTCAAACACAGAAATGAAGCCTACAGAGGGTGGAAGCAAGGACAGGTAGCATGGGAGGAATACAGAGAAATTCTCCAAGCAGCCAGGGATCAGGCTAGGAAAGCTAAAGCCCTGATAGAATTAATACTGGCCAGGGATGTCAAGGAAAACAAGAAAATCTTCTATAGGTATGTCAGTGATGTGAGGAAGGCTAGGGAATGTGGGCCCTTGTGGTAATCACATATCCTCTGAACAGAGAGAGACATAATTCTCTCCCAGGATTTTCCTAGGAAGCTGCGAGAAAGCTCAGAGAAAACAATCCTTGAGCCCACTTGCTGCACCTGCTGTTGTGCACATGTGGAATGTGTTATAGAGATTGTTTACCAAAGGGTGGTTTCTTAACTGGGCTCTGGTGATGGTTTTGGATTCATTGACCAATTGGATCCATGTGTGTGTTCTGACTGTCTGGCAAGGGCGATGGGTTTGTCGTAGAGTAGAGTACAGTACAGTACAGTAGTAATGAAGCAATGGATCAACCTTCTGCAATCATGGAGTCAATGCTCATTATTCCTTCAGAGACCCACTGTTAGAATAGGCCCTCTTGAGAGGAAAACACTCCTGTGGGGAAAACTGGGGTTCTTAATGACTTCTTTACCTCTTTCCTCACCCGTAAGCTCTTCAGTCACACCACTTGAGTGACAGAAGGCAGAGGCAGTGACTGGAACAATGAAAAACTGCCATAGGAGATCAGATTTGAGACCATCAAAGGAAGATGAAGGCGCACAAGTCCATGGGACCTGGTGAGATGCACACACAGGGTCTGAGGAAGCTGGTGGATGAAGTGCTGAGGCACTGTAAACCCCATCTGACAAGTCATGGCAGTTCAGTGAAGCTCCCACTGACTGGAAAAGGGGAAACACTTTAAAAAGGGAAAAAGGAAAGATCTGGGTAACTACAGGCAGTCTCAGTTCTGTGCCTGGCAAGATAGTGGAGCTAATCTGACTGGAAACTATGCTAAGGCACATCAAAATTATGAAGGTGATTGGTGACAGCTAATGTGGCCTCACTAAGGCATATTAAGGATATGTACCTAATTTCTGAGTAATAAAAAACGTTAGGCAATATTTTTTATTTCAAATAACCTACTATTGCAGCTGCAGATGTATCATTCAGTTCCTAAATTCTGTTCTGTAGCAGAATCATTTTGCCTTATCTTTAAATAAAACTATTCAGAGGATATAGCCTGGAAAAACTATGCCTTATCCATGAAATTGTTGCTATAATCTAATCAATTAAGATCTTAATGTGTAGGCTTTTTAGCTAGTTTTGACTGAGAAAAAACATTTACAATTCAGACTGTGGTTTTGTAACTGTAGCATCAACTGTAAAATGAAAATCAGGGCTTTTTTTTTTAATAATTCAAAGATTCTTTTTTATGAATGAAAGAAATTGCAGTCCTAAAAAAGTCAAAGCATGTAATCAGAACTTGTAAAATATTCCATTCTGTTTTATGACATCTCAACTCCAATCAAATAAACAGAGCCAGAAAGAACCAGAGACTTGATTGACTGTTTAAAGAAAATGCTGTCAGTTTGATTACAGGCAAGTGAACAGACACATTACTAAATGTAAACTGCATTTAATTTTATTATGCAAGCAGCTTTAATAACGTCACAAATAAGTTATGCAAACTGAAACACTGGGTGCAACTGCATACAGATTTCTGATAATGAGTGGGGGCTGTGCATCATAGCTATTTTCAATTTAAGTGTTCTAAATTTATTAGGGAGCAAAAGGTAATTAAAGTGAGCATCAGAGAAAAACCTCACACCATGTTGTTTCAAACCAAAGTGGTAGAGTTTTCAAAAAGGTTTGTAAGAGTAGATTCTTGCAGTGCTGTGAAGAAATGCCCTTATGGTGCTTCCATTCAAAAATTTGCAGCATTTTTCGGCTCTCCTTTTCCTCTGGTTTCATTCCCCATGTGTAAATAGTTTTGAAATTCAAAATGACTCATTAAGTGTGATGAATGTTTGACACTAAGCTCGTGCAGGTTTTCTGGTATACCCACAGAAGGAAGCAAGACATGAACCATTTCATAGAGTCATGGAATCATTTAGAAGTGAAAATAACTCAAAGGCCATCAAGTAGGACTGTTAATACAGCACTGCCAAGAGCCCTGTCCCAAAACACCACATCTGCATGTCTTTTAAATACCTCCAGAGATGGTGATTCTGCCACTTTCCCAGGCAGCCTGTTCCAGTGCTTGACAATTCCTTTAATGAAGAAATTTTTCCTGATATCCAATCTTTATCTCCCCTGGAGTGACTTGAGGCCATTTACTATCACCCTTTCTGGTTGGGAGAGGTTTTCTTCCTTGCTGCCCACGGGAGATAGTTCACACCAGACTCTGTTGAGGACTTCTGAAATTGCTGGGATATCCAGCTGTTGTAAAAGTGGACTTTGCAGCAGTGGCAATAGTTCTGTGCTGCTGTATGCTGAGGGGAGATCAGACTTCAGCTGTGCTCTCCCCCAGCCCATGGACCCTGGTTTGCCAGGCTGGAGATCCATCCCTGCCTGCTTCTCTCTGCCTCCTGACCCAGCCAGCAACACAGAGTCACAGACCTGGAACTGCTCTGGTAATGCACAGCTGAGGGAAATGTGCAATCACAGCACCTGATGCACATCAGACAAAGCTCAGGAGGGAAATGGAGATGGAGAGACAGGCAGGGGTGGCTGCTGTAGGATTCCCAGCAGGAGAGCAGCAGAGATCCCCATCTGAGCACTTGTTCCCAATGCAAAGACAGGAAAAAAATGTGTGCGGGTTTCTAGGTCTCACTCAGTGAGCCTGCAGTAAAACACAACTGTCCTGAAGCAAAAGATGGCACATTCTCACAGCAACAATATGTCCAACAAAAAGCAATTCTGTAGCAGGCTATGTTGTGCTAGCTTTAAAAAAAGAAAAAAGAAAATTTAGTCACTGGAGAGGAAGCTGGCAAGGCCTGGAGATCAGCGATCACAATCTGATTACATTCAGTGTGGAAAAACAGAGAATAAGGGTTAGTTTTGTCAAGCTGAGGGAAATTATGAGAAGTGATTCTTTTCTGACTGGCAATCTTTTTTTTTCTGTCTCCTCAGAGTACTCTTTAGGAACTTATATGAGATGATTAAAAAGCCATGGATGTACAGTTGAAAAAACATAATATTTTTCTAAAACCCCCTTATAATCCACTAGCAAACTGAAGGTGATAAGTTGAGTAACAAACATTGTAAAGAGAAATAGGAGGAATAGACAGCAGTCAGTGCAAACTCAGGGTAAGCTTTTGGAGCACAGAAAAGTGGAACACAGATCAGCAGGTGAGAACTTTGGAAAAGATACAACTGCGCATTAGCGTGAATAGTGATATGGAATTAAAACAACTGTACTAGGAGAAAAAGAATTCTTAGTGTACTAAATATACCTGTCATGAAGAAGAATGATAGCACAGCTAGTAATGAAGGAAAATAGCAGAGGTTTCAAAAACTAATAATAGTAAGATTTTTGTTTGGAAGGAAACAGAATAGCTTACATATTCATGAAGACACAAGATGTGTTTATTATTCAAAAGGCACTGAAAAACAAGATGTTATTTCCAACTGCCTGCAGTTTTTAAACTAGCTGGCCTGAGTAACCATCAGCATAAAAGGGCCAGGCAGGGAGATGTGTGACTGATGCATCTCCTTTGGTACTGTTAACTCAGAGAGCTTAACAAAATTCCACACTGTAAATGTTCAGCTCTGATCAGCAGCTTGTTGTGGGCAGCTGAAGAACACAGCTATTCTAATTTCAACCTCAAATATAAAAATTAACTAATAATTATCAGTTCAATGAAAGCCACTCAACACAATCTGACCGCACAACACTTGGCAAAACAAACCTGATTTCATTGTTCAGTGTGTTTACCTCCTGTCTGATTGCTGCACTATATATATGCATAACAGATGTAATGGATGTATTTTTATTTATTATCATCACACACTCATCCTGGATGAGGAATTGGCACTTTTTGATATCAAGAACCTTTCACTAAACTCTTTTAAGATCTCAAAGGGAAATTCATGAGGGCATCTCTTAAGTGATTCTCACCAAAATTAGTGCCAAGTGATCCTCTTCGTAATTTCTATTTGTGTTCTAGAAATAAATATAAAATCATTCCTAATACAATTTGGCTTAAGCCAATATAGAAGAATTTATCTAAAGATGCCTACAGCAGCGAGGGCAGAGCACCAACAGAGAATGCTCGCAACAGATCACAAGTTGGGTCCAGACCACAGGCTGAGTCCAAATCATCATGACAGAGCTGAAAGAAATTTTGTGTGCGTTGGAACATGGGGTGCAGGTCATGCAAAGAGACTAAGAACTTCTGTCTCAGCACAAAGCACTTCTAAAAGATGTAAGGATCTTAAAAGAGAAGCTGGGTATTACTACAGAAGGTAAAAATTCTGGTACCTACATTTTAAAGAAAATTAAAATTATTTGGGATCACAAAAATAATTTAAATTGTTGAAAATTATTATGTGAAATTAAATAAAATTAAATTTATTTTAAAATTATTTAAATTTCTCACAGTGAAAAACTAAGGAGTCTGTTTATCCTGTCAAAGAAAGGACTGGGAAATCACATGAGTTGATTGCCTTGCTGGACAAAGATGCAAAAGGACTCAGTTTTAGCAAAGACCAGCACATGGAGAGGCAGTGGTTGAATACTGAGGTCATCCACAGCCAGGTGAGAAATAAAGCACATTTTAAAAATAACAGGCCTTGACCACTGGAGAAAGACATTAGAGGAATAAATTTGATAACCACAAGCCAGGATTAAGTGGCTTTCTGGAAGCTCTGTTTCAGTTAACCAGGAGTACTTGGTCTCAAGGCAAGGATAATGGGACCAATATCAAGCTTTCTCATGCAGATCATCAGGCTGCTTGTTTAAAGGTCCCCCTCTAATCTTAACTACTAAAACCTGGCAAGAAAAAAGACAACTGTCACAAGGATAAATGCTGAAAGTATCAGAGGACCTTTAAAACATGTAAATTATAGAGATGATACTGGGGAATTACTCCATCTTTGGTAAATACCACTGTAATTTTGATTTTGCAAAGATTTTAAGCATGGTTATGATTTTATGTGGGTGGTTAAGTCCTCGATGTTTCAATAGAGTTTAAGTTTCATCTGAATAACTAGGGCTGTGAAATTTCTTTTTTCAATATTTCAATGCATCTTCTGCAGTTTATCATTATGTCACCAATTATAACTTATTTCTACAGTCTTTAAGGAAAGGGGAACCAGACTGAATCCATGTTTATAGTATTCTAAACCTCTCTCTAGCAAATAAATTATTAAAACAGAGGTTTGTCTGAGAGCCAAATAAGATGAGTATAATGGTAAGAGATCACACTCGGAAAAGAGGGTTTATGAATTTGCGTGAATCTCTGTAGCATGAAAGAGCATGAGAAAACCTGAAAAATCATACTTAATTTCATGCTGTTTCAATATGCGCCACAATATGCTCAATGTGCAATTCTGCAGAGCCACAAATGCTGTATTTTTGTCTGTATCAGGCACATTTTGTCTTTGATAAAACAATTCCTCCATCTTATTAATGGCAGTGGAGAGCATTGGGTCTACTATTTTCTTCCAGAAACACATGGTAAAAATGTCAAAAGTTTCTCATTTTGGCCTCCAGAGGTCATCAAGACCTTTACTCCAAGAGTGCAGTATGTGCAGAGCAAGGGTGGCTGGAAAAATTTCATTGATAGCTTCAGTGACTCATCAGCCTTGTTATGGACCAGAAGAAAAACTGGAAAAGTCTATTCCAAAAATATACCATGTGGAAAATAAAGAGAAAAATAAAAATATTAATGGGAGGTGGGGAGGGAGAAAAAGAGGAGACGAAGGAGAAGGAGAAGGAGAAGGAGAAGGAGAAGGAGAAGGAGAAGGAGAAGGAGAAGGAGAAGGAGAAGGAGAAGGAGAAGGAGAAGGAGAAGACAAGAAAGAGAAGAAGGAGGAGAAGAAGGAGGAGAAGTAATCCTAAGGAGTACAAGAACAAGAAGTGGAGAAAGAAGAAGGGAGAAGGGAAAAAAGAAAGAGAGAAAGAAACATAACCAATTATTTACAGTCTTTAAAATCTGTGTTAAATATTTCCTCAGTTATTCAATTTCTAAAGAGTTCCCCAAATGTGTAGGGAATGCTCATCTGTTGCCTGGCACAACACAGGGCAATCTTTGACCTTGTGGGAGTCAAAGTAAGATCTCAAGCAGCCAGACAGAAAAGTCCAGATGTCTTGTATACCAGCATTTCATTCTTCTGGAGACAAAATGCCAGGCTGTGGAAGTCAGATAATTCTTCTGCCCCAGTGCAGTGACAGAGGAGAAGATGTGAGTGCACCTGTACTTGCAGAGCACAGGTACGACGAGTGCACTCACATCTGCAGGTGCCACATTGCTCCTGCCCTTCCTCCCTGACACAGAAACTGGGTTGTGCTGGGGAGGCTGGGGGATGCTGAAGCTCCTCCCCTGCAGCAGGAAAGGCAGATTTTGGCAACAGGTTGTTAAGTCAAAGTCTGGAATCAATAATTACTGGTCTCAATTTCTTAGCACTCCTGTTTGTGAAGTTAATATGTTTGTAAAGTACCAATTTGCCTCTGAGAATTGCCCCAATCTCTTTGGAAATTTGGCAGAATATACTCAGAAAGTACATTTATTCTTAATTACATTTATTCTTAATTAAGAAATTCCAAGAAAGTATTTAACCTGTGATCTCAAAATGAAATGTGAAGGTAGTTAATGAGAATGGAAATCTATTCTGAATCTGCAGAGAACCCAGCAAAGTTTTTTCTGTAAAAGATCCAGTAGAATGTATCTATACCATACATAAATCTTTAAGGGACTATGCCAAATGAAATCCAGCCAGTGAGGATACTTATAAATGCAATTTCTCTGCTTCAATGCTCCTCACAATGTCATTCCTAGTCTTGTTACTTAAATTCTTTCTATATCATCTATAGATATCATTCACAAACTGCCTCATACTTCAGCCCTACTAAAAATATCATTCAAGGGTGTCCCTAGTCCGTGTTTCTACTTCATGCAGACATATTTCTGAATATAACAAAATGAAAGAAGCGCTGAAAAAAGTCCTCAAATGTGCAATATGATAATGTATAGCAAGGAAAATTGCTGGAACTGGAGAGACACTTCCATTGTGTGAAGCCCTGAAGAAAGTACTTCCATTTTTGTACAAGTTTCTGCCCTTCTACCATTTTATGACTTCTACTGCTTCTTAATAAGATGCCTAAAATTTTTTAGCAGGTTTTGAAAAATAATGGGTATGATTTCTAGAATAACAGTATCTATTAAAAGATTGCTGGATGCAAAGTGGCATGATAGTACCTTGAGATGACTACATATCTTTCTTTCAACATATTTGTCAGCTTCAATTTTTCCTTTCAAATTTCTGCCATTTAATTATCAAGGGAGACTGTCACAGAATGGAGAAAATTCCAGGTTTATGCTGGATTCCTTGTGTATATGAGAGGAAAAAGTTAGGGCTGTTTAGATGGAAAGAAATCTCAATAACATAGAGACAGCAGTGTCTGACACTTCCATGATGGTGCATTTGTTCTTGTCAAATCTATGGGAACACATTAGCATAGTTCAATTTAGATGACAGCTTTTCTTGGTTGCTTTTACGGACAATTAAGTTTGTTCTCAAATTCAAAAGGGCTTTTAATGTCTTGTGTTGAGATCTTGTGATCCACATTTACATGGTTTAATGGACTGGTTTAGTGGTGGACTGGGCAGTGCTGGGTTAACAGTTGGACTTGATGGTCTTAAAAGACTTTTCCAACCTAAATGACTCTGGTTCTGTGATCAGCAATATCAAGAAGGAGATCCTGGGTAATTATTCTTTGGTTTGTGTGATATTCAGCAACAAAGAAAAGTGAGCATGAACATATGACACTATATTTTATCTCTAAAAAAATGGCAGCATAAGTTATGTTTTAGCTTGTTGCTTTCCCTGGTTTTCAGTCTTTGGGATATTTTACTTGCTTTCTCTTTAAGAAAATTATGAGAAACTAGTTCCAGATAAATGGCTCCTACTATTCCTCTTAGGAAAAATACAGATAAGAGATGGACAAAAGCCTAAAAGACTTGAGTTCACCTTATTATTAACTTCAATCACAGGAATGGCATCAATCTGCATGTCCAGGGTAATAGAACACAATGGCAGCCAGTGAAACTCACTGAAATATTTGAGAAGTGGAACTTGATTTTGCATTATGTTAGTGATATGGTGGCATTCTCTCCTATAAATGAGTAACAAAATCAAAATTACTGCTCTGGGTACAGATGTAGCTATAATGCAATTTTTTAAACACTGTGCATATCCAGTATACACTATCTGATATGAAACTGAAATTTCTCATTTGCATATTGTTATGCTTTTGTAACAGACTTGAGTGTTTGTGGCCACAGAAGATGAAACTCTCCTGAATTAATGCATGTGGAATATATAATCACTCCAACAATTTAGGAAATTCTGAAACCTATGGTATTAATTTATCTTGAAAGGGGTAGTTCCACCAGAATTCAGATGAGTTACTTTCTTGGGGAAACACAAAGGAACTTTCTTTGTCTGAATTTTCTTCTTCACATTCAATTTAATCTGTGATCAAGCAGAGAATGTGTGATAAGCTGCCTTTGGTGTTCTGCACCACGCTTTGCTGTACGTGCTTAATTAATTTAGGAGATCTGCCAGAGCAGCTAACAGAGTGCCTATCTTGTTATGTCATCCCTAAAATGCTCTTGTACAACACACTCTTGTTCCTGATAACTTCTGTAATGTTTGAGTTGTTTCAATTTATTTATTGAATATAATATTCCAACAACTAAAAGAGGTGACCTGCAAATAAAGCTTTGTGTAGTTCTATTGCTAAGTGTCTGGAAATTTTCAAAAATGCTAAAAATCAAATTAAAAAGTAACTTGCATTCCAAAAGGGAACACTATGCATTAATGGTATCCCTCTGGAACTTATAGATAAGGTAAAATATCCTGAGGAATTCTGTGTTTCTTAATTTAAAATCTTGGTATATTTTCTTGGAGATTCCACTGACAAGCACATTAGAATTGGGAAGGTGTATTTCATGAACAATAAACCCCATCAGCACAACTTACTGCTGTATCCTGGGCTGATAGTTTAAGAACTCAGTAAAATACTCTGACAGGTTAAATAAGTGGTAATGGCATCATTATGGCTGTGATGGTCCAAGGAAGCAAGCAAGGAAAATGTGCAGAGAGCAGTACAGGTATTACCACAGCCCTTGGAAAAAGCATTTTAATTTCTCACCTCAGAGGAACATCCTCCCTGCAAGGAGGTCCCTTTTCAGCAGCAAGGTGGGGCCACAGGTGCTCTGCAGAGAGCACTCACAGCAGCACAGAGGGCCTGGCTCTGCAGCCCTGACCCTTTGGTGGCCTTTTGGTGGCCTGTGGCTGGTGGCTGTCTGTGTCAGTAATTATGTCAGCCCATGGGAGTTGGTAATTGCTGCCTTATTGCTGCTCATCTTCATTGTGGGGTCCAGAGGGATGCTGTTGGTGTAAGAGCAAAGAATAGTGATGAACGGCTTTATGTGGAAGTCAAAGAGTGAAATCAGACTTTCAGTCCTCAAGATTGTGAGGCCACCTATATGCTCCAGGAATTGAGCAGTTACTAATTAATTGAACAACATAATTAAGTTAAACTGTGAACAAATGTTCTCCACCCTACTTAGTCGAAAGATTTCTTCTTCAGATCAGATTGAAAGGAGATCATTTGTGGTGGAAAGCCTGACCAATATCACTTTGGTTTATAAACTTTTTTAACCTTTTTTATAGTTATATTTAAATAATTCTTTATTATATGTTTGTCATATAATAAATACAAATAAAATAACCAAGACAATGAAGAGTTTGCTTAAACTACCACATCAAAGAAGTATGTAGCTAAGACCTCATAAGGCAAGGCATTGATAAACTCCATTCAGCAAGTACAAAACAGTAGCTCCATCACTGTGATCAAAGCATTCTCCTGAAGCCCATGATCAAGTGAACAAAATACTGGGAAATAAGAACCCATTTCTTGGAAATAAAGTCACTTTGAAAAGGAGAACATTAATTGCTTGTGTACTTGTAAATGAATGATGCATTTTTAGGTGCTTACAGAGCCTTCATCTCTAGAAGGGGTAAGGTAATTAAAGTTAACCTGTGACCAAAAGCTGAAAATGTTCTTTTGGATGGAAAGGTAAAACAGTAATCTGCAATGTACAATATATTGAACTGCATAAAAGCATTTGCTTCAAAGCTCAAGGACACCTCAGTATCTGTAATTAGAAGGGCTCTCAAAGGGCATAGACAGAGTCTTTCAATTGAGGTAGGTGACACTTCTTTTAAAACAGTCCCACAACATGAAAGTCTGAGTTCCTTTTAACCTTTTAAGGAAAGTAAGTGAAAGTCAGCTCTGCTTTTGACTTCACCATCTCAAAGCAGATATACCTCAGTAAAAAGTTAAACAGTGCAGCAAATTTATATGCCTTTTAAATTGTAATTCTGAAGTCCAGTACTAACTGAAGGAGGTTTCCAACATTAACTTATTAAGGTGTCTGAGCGTTTATAATCTTCCTGGAATTACGTTCTCTCCATTCTTGATTGTAACAATAACGATTTATTCTTTCCCCCCTCCCCCCAAAAAATCCCTGAGATAGAACTTCATAAAACTGAGGGACTACAGGAGAAGCTAATCCTGACCTTGGAGGAGGCATCTTACAAAAGGAAACACCTATTTACTTAGAGGAGGGCCCAAGAGAAGCTTTGTTTCCTTTCCAAACACTAAAGGGTGAGTGATAAACATCTGAACGCTGCTGTGCATAACAAGCACTATTGGAATGCCATATATTTTTCTCCTTTCCGTAAGTATTCTAAGCTTCTTCTGCATCTGGATAATTGATATTCTCAAGGCAATACCTCCCTACATGATTCAGATACTGGAAGTATCCATGAGTGTGTAATGGGAACTCCACACAATACAGTGAAATAGCATGACTTCAAAAAGTTCATTATTTTGATTATTTAAGTATCATCCCACTATTATCTTCAGTACATCTACTGTGGTACAAAAAACACATTTCTTGGCTCTAAAGGATATATTATGCTATCAGGTTAATCTGAACCAAGTTGCTGCAAAACCACAGAGTGAAATCCTTCCTCACTTCCTGGAGGCAGACTGATTTTAAAGTATGCAATTGATAAAACAGTTTTAATATTAAACTGTTGCTTTTCTTTTATTAATTAAACTGAGGCTATGAACTTAATATAATAATTTGTGTTGACTTTATATATTAGTCCTGTTTGAAGCTTGTACATTGAGCTGCAGCATACTAATGGGACACAGGCAGCATTGGCGAGCATCCAGGAGACTGCAGTCTTCAGAAAGTGTTTTTTTTAGTATGAATCAATGTGAAAGAGATTTTATCTAGAATGGTAGAAACTCTAAAGTGGCAGTGTTGTATTCCCTATTGTCTGAGTGTGTGTGCAAATCAAGGCTTCTGGGAAAAAAGTAAACCCAGTCCTTGGGCAAAGCAGGCAGGATTTGGCACCACAGCCCTTCCTTTGGGAGCACTGGCTCCTCTTCAAGTCTGAAATAGAAGCCACAACCCAGCTGCTATTTAAAGGTTGAGAGCAATTGCTCTGAATTTAGTCTAATTCCATCCATCAATTAGACAAATCTGAAAGGAAATGCAATTGGTACCTGGGGAACAGAGCAGGATTTTAGCAAGGAAAGAAGTGATAAGGTCACTGTCTCCCATGGGACAGAGAAAGAGAAAGACCTCTGATTACCACCTGTGGAACATGCAGATGCAGACTGAAATAAATGAAATTGTAGCAATTACTGGATCATGCTAATATTGTACCAAATGGAAATCACTTGAATCAGCATATGATTAGCAAAATATTTTATTTGTGTAATGCAAGAAGCATTCTTGATTCTATGATTCTGGCGGGGTGGCTTAATCTCTCCATTCTTTTGCAACCAGTTGTGGGCGGATGGATTTAGCCTTCAGAATCCAAGATATTAGAAATAATTTTTTTTTCATCTACACCCATGCTATAGGAACAACATTTAATTATCCCCATCAGCCAAAAATCCATCTGGATTTCAGCTACATCAGTACAAATGTCTGCCCAGGTGTTAGGATGATACATAGAGGTCCTGGCTGGGGTCTGGTTTCTTGGTGCCAGGCATTGAGAAGGAGGCCCTCAATCTCAGCCAGATCAGCCCAGATCCAGAATATCTCATGTGGCATTTACTGCCATACTCAAAGTCACAAAGGATGGTCTGCAGGTGAGATACAGAAAGCATGGTCCCTCTGAAGACCCTAAAATATGGACAAGAATCCCTGACAAGTCTTGTGACTGTCACAGAATGGACCTGTGTTGGTAAGATACTGTGCAGCTGGAGAAAAAATTGTCAGACTTCAGCTCAGACCAGCTTGAGATATTTCTGAGCACAGACCTCCTGCATTACGTTGAGATTCACCACAACAGCAATATAAAGGCTGGATGATTTTACAAATCAGTTTGAAATTATGTTGTGGTAATGAAATGGGTAGGAAAAAAGGTAACAATGTGAAATGAGGTTTTTGTTCCAAGAAAGTAAAAGTAAAATGATGAGACCACTGTTCAGTTTTGCACACAGGTCTTTTTTTCATTCACAGAAAAGGAAATTCTTTAGAGCAGGAAATTATGAAGAGAAAATGAAAAACACACTAGGCCAGATTTAAAAGTCACTTTTAATTGCAGAAATATCATCTTTAATTGTAGAAATAGCCTGAACTCTGAGGACAAGTAGTATCATCTATCTTTTGCTCAAATTAGTTAAATTCAAAAGAAGAGGTGATTAAAGGCACATGTGAATTAGTCCTTAGACTCTCTAAGAACATTCCTTGGCTGTGCTGCGAAGGAACAGAGCATTTTTTATGGATTTGAAATGACACCAAGTCCCAGGATGTCACATGAAGAGAACTTTAATCATTTGGATGACTCCTGGTTCAACAAGAAATTTGGCCAGGGTCATTACAGGTGGGGTGGACAAAATATTAGACAGGAGAAACAGATCATGCCTTGCCAGTGATTTACACAACTATTTGTTAGCAGATTGAATTTATGGGGTTTTTTCCTTCATCCTGGAAAGGTTATAAACAACTCCAGTGCAAATAGAACCTTGACAAATTTATTCTGAAAGGCAGTGGGCTTAACAAGCTAACTGTGGCAACAGGTCATATCCCTAACCACGTCAGAGTTGACTTTCTGTAGCATCTTCCATTATCCATCTGTCAAAAAAGTAGGAGCCTTCAGCTTCCTGAGAGACAGATACAAAACTCTCACTTTGACCAGCAGGAGAAATAAGCAGTAGAAGAGCTTTCTCTGGATCCTCTCTGAGCACTTCAATACCTCACTTTTCCTTAACACTGTTGAGGAAAGAGCAATGACACAAAGGAACATGCTTGTTTTAAGATGGTTAGAGAAACCAAACCTGAAGATGTTTTTTCCAGAGATTTACCTTGTCCCACTACTGGTTATGTTAAAAGGTCAGAGAAGGACAATGCCTCCACCATCATCATCCTAGGACCTCATCCAAGGAATGGTTTATGGGCAGGAACAGAGGCTGGGATGCTCTGACCTCCAACCTCTGTGTCATCCAGGCGGGCTCTGTGCCAGGAGCAGAGGTCAGGCAGAACCAACTTCTTGCTGCTGAAGGGAGTCTTGCCAGGAATTTCAGCAGCAGCCTTCAAGAAGGATGCAAAGGAGCCCATCTGAATACCAATGATTTCCAGGGCCAGTGACTCACTCCAAGGATGGCATCCTGGTGTGAAGAGCTGTGGCACCAGCCCCAGGAAAGCAGCGCCTGCCTGGGGCACTGCAGGCTTGGGTTGTGTTTATGCAGCAGCTGAAATCACTGTGCTGGGGATACCCACATCATTTGCTCAGGTTGGCTTGTTAAAGCAATTTTCTGCTTCTAACAGCACTCCTGAGTGGTCATGGGAACCCAGTGCCACCATGAGGCACCTTGGCCAGGGAGCCACACTGGTGACTTCCCTAGACACAGGGTGGACAGATGGAGATCCCCACTGCTCTGTCATTGCATATGGGGGAGGAAGGGAAGGTCTCCCTGGCCTCCCTCCTCTTCTCCTGCCAGCCCCTTTTATCCAAGTAAATCTGAATTTCCAGTGGCAGCTGGGTCCATACCCTCTGTCTGTCTGTCTGTCTACTGAGGTGCACTTCTAACCTCACGGGACCCTAAAGATCGTGGTGTGGTCTCCAGAGACACAGATCAGTTACCATGAGCTCTCCTGGCAGAGGGTAATGAATAATGTACCCCTGCAGGCAGCACACCCTGAATTTTAGCCCTCTGCTTGTCTTCAGCACACTGCCCAAGAGATGCAGAAACCACTTACATTTTACTTATTCTTCCTGAACCCATTCTTGGGAATAGCCGAGGAATTACGGTTGAAATATTTCAAAAACCCCTACGCCAGGCAGAGGTAAGCGTGGCA